GAACATCTTTCCCCTAATATACTGTATTTACTTGAAGTACCTTTAGATTTTAAAATGAATATTTGAATAATTAAATATCGCATTTGCATGTTCACGGTTCTCTGCTGGTTAATGGTCACAGACATGAAGGTAAACATTACTTTTTTAGTAAGTGTTTTATTTTGATTGATGTTATTCTAAAATTCTAATAATTTTATTAATTATTAGCTTTTCATTAAACTCACAAAGCCCCTGCAGTTCATTTACGAACCCCAGTTTGGGAAACCTTGACGTAACGTAATGTTTATTGCGTATATTTAAACCAATATGATAAATGACTAAGGTCAAAAGTAATCTAAAAGTAATCCGATTACATTACCTAAAATGTGTAATGTAATGCATTACATTACTAACAACAATTTTTGTTATGTAATTTGGAATCAGTTACAGTTTGTAAGGTCAGATTTCTTTCTGATTGTTTAGTTGTCCAGTTGAAGAGAAGTGGAGAAACCCATGTATCTCCTGTTCATTTCCTGGTTTGTGTGAATATTAAAAATGTTTTGGTGCTTTGTGTTTCTACAGATAGAATGAAATGTCCAGTAATGTCCAGTATGTTCCAGTAAACCTGAAAGAATGAGAGTTTACAATGGATCAATCTATGTCAATAGTGGCATGCTGTTCTGCAGAGACAGACAGAGACTATTGTATATATAAAAGCTTCTCCATTGTTACAGTTTCCAACCAAGTAGCTTTGTCCTTAGATGGATGGCATTTGGCGTATTATGAACTAAGTTAAACACAATGCCGTTATGATAGGAAATGTTCATTGCGTTTTTGCAATGCAGCCTAATTTTATTTCTACACTATATATTTACGGTTTAAAGCTATTATATTATATTATACTATATAGATAAGCAATGTTGGGCAAGTTACTTCCAAAATGTAATACATTATATATTACTAGTTACTGTCTTTTGAAAGTAATTAGTTACATTACAATATTACTGTCTCTGAATTGTAATGCGTTACACTACTTTTGAGTTACTTTTGAGTTACTTTCACCAAAATATCCACAGAAGTATTATAAAATGCCAAAATGTAGTTTAATGCTGCTCATTCTACATCCAGTGGAGGGTAACGTGGTAGGTCTATATAGCATAAAATATATGAAATCATATTTAGATACCGGTATGTAGGTCTACATTAATGTTACGTTGTAGTTTAGGTTAAAAAAATATAA